AAATCAATTGCCTTATCCCTTTTTCCAATGTTTTGAGTAAAACATTGGTGGCGACTCCACGAACCCTCCTTTTATGAAAACCACTAATCCATGGAGGGTCCCGCTTGGGATTAATATGGATTAGTGAGCCTTTTAATAAAATTGCTCGTTTGACGAGGTCTCAGTTTGAGAATAAGTCATTCTAGCAATCCACTATTTTTAAACAATTAAACGAGTCCAACCATCCTTCGCGAATGCCGAAAGCCCGTTTCGGGCCGGTGGCGACAGTGGTCTCTCACACTTGTGACCAGGGGTGGCATGACCTTAGGCAAGAGATGCTACAGGTGTGACCTTGGTATAGTATGGGATGGGTGATTCCTCATACTTATGTCGAGGGTGGCACGATTGATGTATTGTTAATGGGTTATTGTGTTTGATAGTGTTAGTTATATGTTAACATTGATACTATTTCTATATAAAAAAAATGTATTGAGTGTGTTTGGTTATTGATAAATTTGTCGAATCACAGTAAAAAATTACTAGAATTTTTTCCAAAGGTTTGTAATATAGATAACAACCTAGGTCATTTTTCTCGAAGAAACAAGTTAATAGGATCCAAAATTATCACCCAATTAGGAAGAAATTTTTTATGAATAGCAAAGAAAAATTAAAATGTTACAAATAAAAATATAAAATTCAATAAAAAAATGTATCGATTCAAGATTTCAATCCTTAAGGTAATAAAATTCTTATGGTTCAAGTTATAATTTGAATTCAATCAAATTAAATCAACACAAATGTAAATCCAAATATAAATCTATTGAATTTCATAAAAACGTAAAATGCAGTTGTGATCTAACAATTTCAATGAAATTCAAGAACAATGAACAATTGAATTAGGTGATTTAGGTTATCTTAGGTCTAGATCTAAATCAAGATCTAGATCCAAAATTACTCTTCAAATCTAATCCAAATCTATTAAAACAAAATTCATAATCATGAAGAACAAAAAATAGATCTAGAATGGAGAAAAAGATGAAGAGAATTCGTATGGTAAAAATAGATTAGAAATTCAAATTTTACCATAATTTATAAAATTTTGAATTGAATAAATGGATTAACCACACATCTTCATCAAGATGCTGCAGTTCCTTCGTGTAGAAAAATGTAAAGAGAAAATTTTGAGAGAGAGAATTTAAAAAAATTATAGTGGAAATAACTCTAAAATATGAAAAATGAGTGTAAAGTGTACATAACAAGTCTCACTACACTTATTAATAGAACAATATAGTGGACCTAATTAAAATATTTATGAGGCTCTACCCACTAATCAACTAATTAACAATTTTGGACTACTAATACAATAATTTTCTAAAGTAAACCTAAAATGAGGTGTAGAGGTGTAACATTGAAGTGTATTTTTGGACCTTCAAATGTTTGAACTGGATGAAACTTTGAACAAAAACGTTGTAGAGCTTTGTCTTAGCTTTCTAGAGACACCAAGAACATTTGATTTTGAGTTTGGGAGCTCTAGATATAGCCTATGCAAGACAACATGTCAAAGTGGACAAAAATTACAAAAATTAACTAGAACTTAGAATTGAAACCAAAATAGTTCACTAAAACAAATGTTAACAAATTCATCAATTTAAGACACTTCTAAATGTAACAGCCCAATTTTCACTAGGCCGAGAGCCCAATTAAGGCGGTTTAGTAGCCCGGAACGAGCCATTCCAAAATTGGAACGGGCCGTTCCAAATTACTAAATATACCTACTTTTGGTAGACCGAAACGGGCCGTTCCGAATTAGGAACGGGCCGTTCCAAACCATTAAATTTACTTATGATTCTTAGTTGAGAACGAGACGTTCCAATTTTCAGAAATGGCCTTTTCACCTAATTTAGAACTGGCCGTTCCAGAGTTGAGAACGGATCGTTCCAAAATATGACAATTGTAAGTATTAAATGCACCCCAGAACGGGCCGTTCTGGTTTGAGAACGGGCCATTCTGGATGTGATTTTTACTCGTGGTTTAAGAGTCCAGAATGGGCTGTTCTGGATTTGGAATGGGCCGTTCCGGAGACATCTGATCCTATAAATAGAACACTTTGGCACTCCCAAAAACACACTTTTCACTTCTCTCTTCTTTTTTTTTTTCTTTGCTCTCTTCTTTTCCTTCTACACTCTTTGAAGGTCGATGGGCACTCAGAGGAGGAGACCAAGGAGATCTTTGTTTAGTTTCAGCTACTGTTTATCCAGGTACGGGAGAAAAAAGGATTATTTTTATGCAAAGTTACATGAGAGGGGGATGTTTTGGTGTCTTCGTGGTGGAGATTAGGGTTTGAAGAGGTGGAGTACCCGTGGGGGAAGCCTAGGTATTGTTGTCCTGTGGTGTTTCACCAGAAGAATATTGTACTAGTGTTACCTCCCTTTGGTGGATGTGGTGGTGAAGATGATGGGATCAATATTATAGTGGCTCTTCCTCCCAAGGAAATGGAGAAATTCCAGAGTCTCTTTTACATGTTTTTGAGTTGAGTTTGATGGGGAACTGTTTGTCTATTATCTTATATACGATTATCTATAGGCTTAATAGTTAATATTAATGTATGTTCGGTGTAATAAGTCATTAATTTGTATTTCAATATATGGATGATGCATTACTTTATCTTTAACTTGTAAGTGATGATATTGGAACCATAATAAGGTTGCTGATCACATTTTGTTGTAGCGTACTCATTCCTAATGAATTATAAATATAAGAAAAAAAATGTTAAATCAAATGTATTAAAAAAATTAGTTAGCATAATTTAATTCTACCAATTTTATTTTTAGCTATTTTCTTTTTATTTATCAAATTAAAAGATTATTATACATACAATTCCTCGTCCATTTTATTTTAGGCTCAATTTTCTTTTTATTAATTTATCTATTTATTTATTTTCATATCAATAATTACATCTATTATTTTTACCATTAAGATCTACTAGTACAAAACTTAGTGTGACACAAGACTATTAAATTAGTATTATTGGTGACATATTAAATTATATTAATATTTTAAAATTGGTTAACTCACAACCAATTTAATATATTATATTCTAAATTAGTTAAATATTTAACCAACATTGAATGTAATATTTTTAAAATCGATTGAGTCATAGTTAACCAATTTTAAATATAATATACTAAATCAGTTAAAAGATGACCAATAAAACTCAATTTGTTATGTTATATTGTGTTCAATTTGGTTTTGGAGAGAGAGGTGTTGTGGGAGTGGGTATAGACGATATAACCGTATCTTTTTATTTTATTAGTTGTAGTTCAAAGATACACGCCTAATTTTTATTGAGGTAAGGAGAGAGTAAGTAATCTCACTCTAAAGCGTGGAACAATTGTTGGGTAGTGAGGTTGACCCTTAACCTCTACATGTTATATGAAGGGGGAAGCCCTATTATTTTATGTTGGTGATTTGTTATTTATTCTATGACTATTCAACTCTCTTATTGATGTTAATTGTAATTGTTGATAATTAATTTCGTGTGATAAACCTTTTTGGTATGATTTGAGTTGCCCGTGGGTTCTTGTAGGAATCCTAAGGGAATACACTTGGGTAATTGTATGAGGAGATGTTATGAGCATGTAATTATGTGATATTGATATTGAATTTGAGTAATTAATGGTATAATAAGGTAATATTATTAGGCTTTAATCTATGTTTTTACCAATTGGATTGAGAGAAGAAAGTTTGGATGTGAGTTGTGTCTAGCTCTGAAAATTTTGGTATGAATATATCTTGGTATTTATGTGATTTCTCTATGTGTGATTAATAGAATTGAGTTCTAATTATTGGGTTAGAAAGTAGACATTTGGTGTTACATTTTAGACTCAACAATCACATAAAAATGTTAAGGAATGACAAAGTTATGTGAGTTAAAAATGAACCTCATATTCTATGCGCAAAATGTAACATGTGTATGTTAAGCTTTTCAAGTAGATTTAAATGACAAAATTAGGTTTTGTAATCTTCATAAAAGTAGTCTGGATGTTATATTTTAAATGTCATTGGAATCATTAAAAAAGGAGGTCTAAAACTTAAGTTATGATTAAATTAGTGATCAAAGGTTAGGCTATCATACTTAGGTTGAAACATTGCAGTTTTGTATTTTAAAAAAAATAGTAGATAATATAATTAACTCTTGAGGTCAATGTAAAAGTTGTAGATAATTCTCTTATGTTTTTAAGAAAATTAATATTAACTTGATATAATATATATAGCTCTATAGATATGGTGTTTGGACAAAATAATATCTTAGAAGATTAAGTTATGAAAATGTAGTTTTTGAATGATGATAATGAATAGCTTTACCCTTTAAGATTTTGATCTTATGAATGGTTTTGGGTACCTTTCTATATTTAGGAAAGAGAAATCGTGAGATAGGATAATTGTAAATAAGTTCTAATGTGAGTTGATTATTAATGACTTGAGGTATATCAGGTTAAATTATGTAAATATGTGATTGAATTGTCGAGTATGTGACTATTGTGTGATACAATGTATTGTGTGTGTTGGTTATCGTTCCCAAGGAATGAATTCTTATGCTAATTGATGAATATGACTGAATATGAAATTGTGAAGTTATGAGAATTAAATGTTGTAAATGAAATGTATATGACAAATTGTAAATATGGCAAATCATTGGGTATGCATAGTGATTCATGTTATGATAGAGTCTGTGTGACATGCATCATATGCATGCAAATCAACAAATCGTTATATATGCACTGCACATATCTTGTGATTGGTACCATATGCATGAAAATCATGAGTCTGTGTGTATTGCATATAACACTATGCCAAGGCCATGCCACAACTGACATAAGTGATATGTGTTAATTGTCTCACTCATCCCACACCATGTCAGGGTCACGCCCTCCCTGTAGCATCACTTACCCAGGGGTCGTGCCATCCCTGGTCATTGATGTGAGGAACCACAATCACATCACAATCCACACAAATCTTGCAACTAACCCTATGCCAAGGTCACGCCTGTAGCATCTCTTGCTCGAGGTCGTGCCACCCCCGACATAAGCATTAATTGCCTCACACATCCCACCCTATGCCAAGGTCACGCCTATAGCATCTCTTGCCCAAGGTCATGCCACCCCCGATATAAGCATGAGAAATCACACTCTTACACTATGCCAAGGTCACGCCTGCAACATCTCTTGCTCGAGGTCGTGCCACCCTCGACATAAGTATGAGGAATCACCCATCCCATACTATACCAAGGTCACACCTGTAGCATCTCTTGCCTAAGGTCATGCCACCCCTGGTCACAAGTGTGAGAGACCACTGTCGCCACCGGCCCGAAACGGGCTTTCGGCATTCGCGAAGGATGGTTGGACTCGTTTAATTGTTTAAAAATAGTGGATTGCTAGAATGACTTATTCTCAAACTGAGACCTCGTCAAACGAGCAATTTTATTAAAAGGCTCACTAATCCATATTAATCCCAAGCGGGACCCTCCATGGATTAGTGGTTTTC